AGGTAATTGTCAGAGGTGGGCCATGAATTAGATTCTGAGTTTCCTAGCAGGTGAGGCAAAGAGAGAAACAGGATCCATTAAGTCTAGCATCCAGCATCCATCCATTTAAAAAGGTATATATACAAGCACACACACACACATACAGAGAGAGAGCCAGGATCTGGGAGCCATGGTGCAATTCTGAGTTCTGATACCTGAGAGGCGTTTTCTCCTGTGTGTCTCCAGGGAGAGGATGCTGCAGGAGGTGGACGGCACTTGACATAACTATTACGATATAGTAGTTGAGAGACAGGGCTCAGGGATCAGGAGCTGAGTTCAATTGTGGTGGAGCAAGTTACAGAACCTCTCTCAGCCTGTTTCCTCATCTGTAAATTGGGGATAATGGATGAAACCTACTCAGAAGGTGGTGATGAGAATGAAATGAAGTCATGCGTTTCAAGTCTCGAGCACAGGGCCCGACACAGAGTCAAGTCTCAACGCGTGCTAGTTTTTGCAGTGGCGTGGGGGAACTGCTGGTGGACTAACTGTAGGAGGAGAAGCAGGCGACTCTGCCCGAGGCTCCAGGCTCCAGGTCTGCCCCAGACCCAGGGAACCAGCCTGGTCTCTCTGCCCAGCCCTCCTCTCTGTCCCTGCTCTGACTGCTGGGGCCAACAGCTCTGAGTCACTGTTCTGGCCCCCGGAGGGCGTGTGCTGGCCTGCCCAGACCTTTGGACAGCATCTGGACGAGCCATGTGTGACCAGATGGTGCCCTGCCCATCTCAAGGGGCACCTGTCTACCTACCACAAGGCAGCCTGAGCAGGTCACTGGGCTCTGGGCTGTGATGATCCAGGTCTGAGTAACAGGCCAGGCCTGGGGTCAGCCTCAGCAAGCAGCGGGTTGCCAGGCAGAAAGTGGGGCTAAGAGGCCAGGATGTGAACTTAGATGACCTGAGTCCTAATCTCTTCCCCACCACTTATTAGATGGGGGCCTTGGACAAGGTAGCTCATCTCCCTGAGCCTCAATGTCCTCATCTATAAAATGGGCATAACAGCAAAACCCGACTCACAGATTTGTTATAAACATTGACACAGGGAGGTGATGCAGTAAAGCCCTTAGCACAGGGCAAGGGATAGAGAGATGTGCACATGAGGAAGTGACTCAGAGCCACTGTGTTAGGCGTGTGGTTTTTAAAAATTTTGATCAGAAAAAGTTCTCATTGCCTGTCTTTGCTAGCAACCTACTGTGTGCACCACCACATGCCCAGACATTGATCAAGCTGAAACCAAGTCCTCAGTTTCCTCTGACTAGCTGTGTAACATCAGGCAAGTCACTCGTCTCGGAGCTGCCACTTCTGCAATCTGGAGACCTCCCCTCCCCCAACCAGTATGTGGCTCCAGAGGTGACCTGGGGAGCCCGGGCTGAGGGGGGGGGGTCTTTGCTGTGAATGTGTCCAGTCCCTCCTCAACTTTTCATCAGTCCTCCACGTTGCAATGGCTTTGCAGAGTACAAGCTGCCTTCATTGCTGTTTTATAGCTGAGGGACCAGCCCAAGAACAGCCCCTTGGTGTCAGAGACTCACAGCCCCCCACCCTAGAAAGAACTTGGAGACCCACAAGACCGATTCCTCCCCATCCCCCTGTCCCCTGAGCCCCTTCCCAGAGCACACATTCCCTCTAAAGGACCCCTTCCAAGTGGTTGGCTGTTCTGCCATGGCTTGCACACCTCCAGTGATGGGGAGCTCACCTCCTTCCCATGGCCTCCACTCCATGGCCCCAGCTGTCTGTGTTCTATTGAGTTGAGAGCTGCCCCGGCCACTTCCACCGGTCCTGACTTCCAGGAGCACCAGACCCTGCTTCCTCTCTCTGCTCTGGGATGGCTCCCCCAGGGCCTTCCCTTAGGTTCTTCCAATCACTCCCCACCACCACCATCACAGGCAGGCACTGCAGCCGGGCAGACATAGATTCACAGTCCAGCTCTGTCCCTTCCTGGCTGTGTCACCTAAGGCGAACCACTCTCCATCTCTGAGCCTCAGCGTCCACATCAGGAAAATAGGGAGAAGTAAAATAATCATGTGGCTGTTTTCTTTCAGTCCAGTTAGTGGACCTCTGAGATGGAACATAATGCCTCTGAGCCCCCTAGGAATGTGACCTGATGCCACAAGGCCCTCCTGGGCCCCCTGCCACTTGTATGTTCATTCAACAGACAGCGACTGAATGCTGACTTTGTGCCGGGCACTGTGCTTGGCTCTGAGCACTGGTGGGGGGGGGGGTGGACATGCCTGCCCCCACAGAGGGAGACTGTGTGAGAGACCAGGCCAAGAGCAAGGAAAAGGAAGCCCAGGCAGAGGACACAGTGTGTCCAAAGCCCCACTCTGGGAAGAGCCTGGCCCTTGGGGGAACTGAAAGACCAAAGCAGCTGGAACTCAGACATCATTTATTCAGAGGATTGGGTTTCAAAAACTATCGTACATTCATACAATGGAATACTATTCAGCAATAAAAAGGCACCCCCCCCCACATTAACTGCAGCATTATTCACAAAAGCCAAGACAAGGAAACAATGGATGCATAGATAAAGAAAATGTGGTAGAGCCAGCCTGGTGGCGCAAGCGGTTAAGTGCTCGTGCTCTGCTTTGGCAGCCTGGGGTTCGCGGGTTCGGATCCCGGGCACGCACTGACACACGGGTTGTCAAGCCATGCTGTGGCAGCGTCCCATATAAAGCAGAGGAAGATGAGCATGGATGTTACCTCAGGGCCAATCTTCCTCACAAAAAAAAAAAAGAAAAAAGAAAAGAAAATGTGGTAATATATATACAATGGAATATTATTCAGCCATAAAAAAGATGAAATCTTTTTTTTTTTTTTTTGCGACAACATGGACAGACCTAGAGGGCATCTTGCTAAGTGAAATAAGCCAGACAGAGAAAGATAAATACTATATGATCTCACTTATACATGGAATCTAAAAAAATAAAAGTCAAATACATAGAAACAGATTGTACAATGGTGGTTGCCACCACCTGGGGGGTGGGAAAACGGGGAGATGTTGGTCAAAAGGCACAAACTTTCAATTATAAGATGAATGAGTTCCAGGGATCTAACATACAGCAAGGCCACTGTAGTTAACAATATTGTATCTTATACCAGAAAGTTACTATGAGAGTAGAGCTTTAATGTTCTCACCAAGACAATAACAACAAAATGGTAATTATGTAGGTGAAGGATCTGCTGACTAACCTTATTGTGGTAAACATTTTGCAATATATACATATATGAAATCATTACATTGTACACCTTAAACTTACACAATGTTATATGTCAATTATATCTTAATAAAGCTGGGGGAAAAAAGGACAGACTACTAATACACACAACAGGTTGGATCTCAAAAACATGATGCTGAGGGAAAGAAGGCAGCATTTACACAGCCAGCCATTCCACTGACACGAAGTCTAAACTGTAAAACTAATCTATAATGACAGGAACCAGACAATAGCTATGTCTGGAGGGGACTGACTTGTAGGGGGCAAGAAAGAACTTTCTGGAGTGATGAAAATTTTCCAGATCTTGACCACAGTTTTAGTTATACGGAGGTAAACATTTATGAAAAATTCCCTAAGCTATACACATAAGATTTGGGCATTTTACTGTATATCTGTAAAAGTATACCCTAAATTAGGCCTTAACGTAGTTCTGATAAACAACAAAATACCCCACATGTGTGTTGAAGGATGAACCAGAGTGAGGCAGAAGGCAGGCTCTAGATGTCAACCCTGAGTAGGAATCCTGGGCCCCGCCACTTCCTAGCAAAATCCCTTCACCTTACTATGCCTCAGTTTTCAATAATTTTCCCTCTCCGGTTGTTAGACTTTAAGGAATAACCAAGTTAATCCATGTTAAGCACTTAGTATACTGCTTGGCACACGGTAACAGCTCAACAATGGAAGCTTTAAAAAATAAGTCAGCTTCGAGGCAGGGGCCTAACCAGCCCTCCGCAGACAGGCCAACGCCCGGACTGAGAGAAGGCGTCCTCTGGGGGCAGCCTCAGGGAGGGTAAGTGTGGAGGGACTACAACTCCCGGCATGACCCGGCCGGAGCGGGGCACGCTGGGAGTTGTAGTCCTCGCTAGCCTAATAAGCCAAAGGATGCGGGGAGGCGAAGATGCCTTCTGGGACTGGGGATGCCGGGGCGTAGCAGGTATCGACCATGCTCTGGTCCAGGCTGGCCCTAGCGATGGGCAAACGCGTCCTCTTGTCACTGTAGTCTCTCAACCTCCCGAAGGAGTTATCATTGCTCCCATTTCGCAGACGAGGAAACTAAGGCTCAGAAAACGGCCCAAAGAGGGGAACCAAGATCTGCTGACCCAGTCTTTGCCTTTGCATATCGATCCCTGGCCCCCAATCCGAGGCTGGGGGAGGGAGACAAACTCTCCGGGAAGCAAAGTTTCTTTGAACGGCCACGGAGTCGTATTATTTTCCCAATTTCACAGACGAGGAGACGGAGTCAGTCACTTGTCCAAGGTCACGCGGGCAGTAAGTCGCCGACTCGGAAGCCAGGCCAGGGCGCTTCGCCCTTGCGCGCCCTTTGCCGCCAGACGCTACGTGGGCGTGGCCGAAAGACGCTCCCCCCCTTCCACCCTCCGCTCCAGGGCGCTTGGTGCAGTCCTGGTAGTTCCCTACGCTCGCGGGAGCTGGGGGTGAGGCTGCGCAGTCAGCGTGGGCCCCGCGCGCGCGGTGGCGCGCGCGCCCGCGTGGTGAGGTCCGCGGACGGTTCCACTGCGCGAGGCCGGGGGGAGCGAGGGGGCGGGGGCCGCGGCAGGCGGCGCTCGGGCCGCAGCGGGACCGGGACCCCGGCTGCAGCGGGAGCGACGCGCCGGCCGCCCGGTGGGGGTGGAGCCCCGCCGCGGCCCCAGGTAACGCTCGACCCAGACCCTGCGCCGGGCGCCGCAGGTGCGGGGCCAGCGAGGACGGAACGACAGGGTGGGCCGCGGACTGGCAGAGTAGCGCAGGGACTTCCAGCGACGCCTCTGCCTGCGTCGGCAGGGCCGTAGCTCGCTGTCCCGGGACCCGGAGCCAGAGCCGCTCCACTTACCTGTCCACCCGCTGGGTCCAAGTGCCCCAGTTTGGGCAACCCCGGGGAACTACAAGTCCCAGCGTGCCCCGCGCCCCGCGCATGCTCCAATCGCAAGCCCCCTCGGGTCCCGGCTTCAGCTGGGGCCCAGGCGTCCCGCGCAGAGACTCGGAGAGGTGCTGGAGTCTTTTGGCCTCGTCACGTCCGCCCCAAACATTTTCCAGCGCTCCTTGTGCCAGCTTCTGGGGAGCCAGAGTGCCCTGGGCCCTGCCCTGGAGCGGCTGTGGGTCCGGGAAACAGACCACTGCACCCCAGCGCTGTCGTTACTGCTTTCAGGATGTCAGAACGCCGCGGGGTCCAGAGAGGGTCTGTGTCTTGCCCAAGGTCAGACAGCTGCAGTTGCCTGAGGGCCACTAAGCCCGAGTCGAGCTGGTGCCGGGGGTCAGGAGGGCGATGTGGGCAGGAGGAGCGTCAGGAAGCTGGCCCTCGAGTAGGAGAGACACTTAAGATGGAGAGAACATGGGGAATCTGGTTGGGCTCATGTCCCTGGGTCGGCTAGGTGCCGCGCTCCTGCAGCCCCCGGTTTTCATCTCTGGACGGTACCTCCTCCCTCCCCTGCAGACCCTGGGAGTTCCAGTGGTGAGAACTGCAGGAGGGAGGGATTCAGAAAGGGGAGCTCCTCCGAATACCACACCCACAACGCTCACACGACCTAGTGCAAGAACCAGACCGAGACAGTCGGGCGGGTTCTCCCAAAGATGCACACGGTGAGAGCCACTGCGGATTCGCCGGAGTAGGTGCTCGCCCGTTCTACCCCTGGACCAGCAGCCTCGCAGAGGTGGTGACTTCCTCCGGGTCACAGAGCTAGTGAGAGGCGGAGCCGGGGTCCCAGCCTGGGCAGGCTGGCCTCAGGGTCTGTGTTTAACCGTCGGTGTATTCCTTCCCCTCCGTGGCCCACGGGAGACAACAGCAGTGCTGCGCACTCAGAGCTCAGGAAGCATGTCTGTCAGCTGCGTCGTTATCTGGTCCTGGTTTTAGAGGAGAGACAGGCGGAGAGAGGCCAAACACCTGACCCACGGTCTCAGAGCTGGAGCCAGGGCACTGCAGACCTGAGTCCCAGACCTGGGACACCTTTACAGACACCCTGCCCTCCCCATGCGCACAAACACAGCTGCTGCTTTTTAGGGGAGCCAAAGCTTGGGGCTCAGATGCAAGGGTGGTGTGTTCAGGCCTGCCCTGAGCAGAGAGGACTTGGCAGGGGGCCTGTCAACACCCTGCCCCCTAGTGGTAGGCTCTGTGGCAGCTGGGAGGTCTGACTCCTGAGCTGGCTCCACTGGGATGTGCTGTACATCCCTGGCTGGTCCCTCAATCTCTGTGTTCTGCCTGGAAGGCTACTGGGCCCTGCCTTTTTGAAGGAGAGTTTGAGGGGTCTTAGAAGCAAGGAGTGGGGTACTCTCTGACCCTGAGGGGGAGAGGGTGGCAGCAGCTGTCCAGGCTCGTGGGTAGGTGGATGGAGCAGGGCGGGGCCCAAGTGGAACAGGTGACCCTGCCTTCTTCCTGCCCAAGCAGAATCCCTCCCACCTCCTGCAGCGGTGGCCTTGGGGGGAAGCCGGAATGTAGCATCCAGTGCTTTGCACTTGGAGGAACCAGGACTCGAATCCCTCTCTGCCACTCATCACCCTGTGGTCTGGAGCCACCCACTAGTCCCTGAGCCTCTGTGGTCTTTCTCCTCTTGCCCTGGGGATGTCTGTGCTTTGGATTATTGGGCAGCTCTTGGGGACCCTGTGTTGGGCTTTGCATTGCATGAACCAAGCTTAATGTGAGATTAGAATGTGATCCCAGGTTTGCTCCTGGATGGCTGTGTGATGGTAGGTGAGTCATAGCCCTTCTCGCCTGAGTATCCTCGTTTGTACAATGGGGCACATGCTGGTACCTAGCTCTTAGGTCATTGGGAGGACCAGTGAGACGATGATCAGGTTGGGATTTGCCCAGACAATGCAGGAGACCCTAGAACCCCGTTTTGTCCACAGAACTTCACAGCAGATGCCTAGGCAATGGTAAGCTACCCCAACCTGTGGTTTCTGGAGCCCACTGGGCCACACTTCCGGGATCTGTGGGAAGTCACTTCCTGAGCCACTTCCCTCTGTCAGATGAAAGTAACAGCCTGCCTTCGAGGGGACAGGGCTTGGGGTGAGGTGGGGTGGCCTGATGAGGAGCAGGCACATGGGAGGTGTGCAGGCCACATTCCCACATTGAGGCTCTAAGGCCTAAGACTTGGTGAACCTTAGAGGGGATTTCACAGGCAAGTCCAGATTTCTGGCTTCTCTGGAAAATTGGATAAAATTGAGCCTCCTTCCCACTTGCTCCAGAATGATTCTGCACATGCCCAGGAAGGTTTTTCAGGTCAGGAGAGATGTGCTGTTGGCCTCTGGTTCTGGGGGATCCCTGAGGGGCTGTGGGGATTTGCTAACGGCTTCCCAGGGGAGTAAAGCAGAGGGGCATGCATGAGAGAAGACAGGGCAGGGATTTCCTGGCCCTGTAGCATCTGGGGTGAGAGGCAAACCCAGAGCCCCTTACTTGGGCGTCCACCACCCAGTGTGAGCCAGGCCCCGTGGGGGCGCGGGAGCAGACTATGGGGATACGTGCTGCTGTCCGGAGGCAGTGGGGTAACAGTCCTGCTTGTACTGAAGAAGCCAGAGCAGCAGACCGCCAGAGGACAGGTCAGGGAGGCTCGAGGAGGTGGCCTGTGAGCTCAGCCCCAGCAGTTGTGCAGGGTTTTGCCAGAAGTGAATAGGGGGTGTTGAGGATGTTTTAGGCAGAAAGAAAGGTACAGTCAGAGGCTTGGTAACTGGATTGTGGCTGAAGAGTCACTTTCTGAGGGTGGGGAGTGGTAAGGTACTGTTCTCACTGTGTGGCCTCAGATCCTCACCTGTAAAATGTGGCTGGTAACCCCTGTGGTGTCTGCTTCTCTGTGAAGGCTGGACGATAGTGCATTCAAAAATGCTGAATCCCCCAGGCCAGGAGGGATTTATTGAGACATGGAACGATTGTGACAGGGCTGTGTGCAAATTAAATGACATGAAGTGAAGATCGGGGTGCATCTAGCCCTGTGTTCAGAGTTGGGGGAGTTCAGTACAAGCTGAAGACTTCACAAACAGCTTCCTGTAAGAGGTGAGATGGGAGCAGAGCCTCAAACAGCGGAGAAGAGGAATGGACTGGTAGAAAGGAAGAGAGAGGGCATCCCAGGCAGGCAGTCGAGCTGAGCAAAGGCAGGAAGGTGGCAGGCAGGGAAGGCTGGAGGGAGCACTGCCATGATTGTGGGAGAGGGGCTGGGGAGAGGTGAGCCTGAAAAGTTTGGTGGGGGAAGCTTGTTAAGTGCAGCCCCCAAGGCCAGGCAGTAGGGAGCTGTTGCAGGTTTTATCCCTACACAGGTGAGCATGGGGTGGTCTTAAAAATGTAGGCACCTTTGAATGTGGGGAGGATTTTCTAATTGCTTTTACATAGTGGGAAAAATAAAAGGTTGGAAGGCATATAGGATATATAGGGAGAGGCTTAGAGAAAGGCATCACCGGTACATCCCTATTTATTCTCAGGCACACGTAGTTTTAACTGTGATGGGTAGACTTTGGCATTCCAGGTAACATCTGTAGCACTGCATCATGAACTTGATCTCCTGTGCCTGGAGATCTGCAGACAACCCCTGGGTACCATCTTCAGTCACTGTGTGTTGCTGCCACACAGCCACAGTGCAGTGTCAGATTGTTGCTGGGCTAAACAACACTCTGATGGCATGTGTGTTCCTCAACTTCCTTCTGGATTGGTTGCATTGGATATCTTTCCTGAATGGGGATTTTTGACTCTAAGGGAACAGAAGTTTTTATGGCTCAAAAGACTTAAAACATACACTTTTACAGTAATTTTCTTTAGAATTTTCAGTAGTTTATATGGTATAGAGTTTTTTTGTTTTGCTTTGTTTTGTTTTGTGAGGAAGATCAGCCCTGAGCTAACATCCATGCCAGTCCTCCTCTTTTTGCTGAGGAAGACCGGCCCTGAGCTAATATCCATGCCCATCTTCCTCCACTTCATGTGGGGTGCCGCCACAGCATGGCCTGACAAGCGGTGCGTTGGTGCGCGGCCGGGATCCGAACCCCGGGCCTCCAGCAGCGGAGCATGCACACTTAACCGCTACAGCACAGGGCCAGCCCCCAGTATAGAGTTTTTTAAAAAGAGCAAATGTAGGGCCGGTCCGGTGGTGTAGTGGTTAAGTTCTCGCGTTCTGCTTCTGCAGCCTGGCGTTCACAGGTTCAGATCCCAGCCTCAGACCTATGCACGGCTCATCGAGCCATGCTGTGGCAGGCATCCTACATATCAAGTAGAGGAAGATGGGCACGGATGTTAGCCCAGGGCCAATCTTACTCAGCAAAAAGAGGAGAATTGGCAACAGATGTTAGCTCAGGGCTAATCTTCCTCGCCAAAAAAAAAAAAAAAAGTACAAAAGCATATACAATAAAAAGTCTATCCTCCTGATCCACTGCTCTCTTCCAGTTCTCCCTGAGGACATTTGTTAATCAGTTTCCTGTATATCCTTCCAGAAATATTCTATGCACATATTGTGTATATCCAGTTTTTTAAAAAATTGAAACATACTGTTACACTCTGTTCAGCACTTGCTTTCAATTTTTATGTTTAAATTTGGGATTATATAATATACCAAAGAAACATAGAAAATGACACCACCCCCAGCAGCCCACTACACAGATTTAACAAATAGTTAACATTTTGCGCTGGCATCTTGTTTAGGACTGTCGTGAAGGTAGCCTTGTGTCAGTGCAGCTCCGTACGGAGGAGTCCAGTTATTGATTATATGCATACACCATTCTTTATTTGGCCTGTTCCCAGCTCTTGGATATTTAGCGTATTACTGATTTTTTTTTGCTTAAATTATCGATGTGGAGGTAATACCTTACTTGTATAATGTCTGCCCAAGGAGGCATCGAGGCAAAGGGGAACGAAGCTCGGCTTTGGCTTGGGTTCAAATACCTGCTCAGCCACACTTCCTAGCTGGAGTATGACCTGGGGTGAGTGACCCCCTCTTGATCCTCTTTACCTGTCTGTAAAATGGGCAGGTTGTAGTAATCCCTCGTCTCCTAGCTGCTGGGAGGAGTACAGTAGAAAACTAAAGACTTCATGGGGCTTAGTTCCCCAATCCCCCTAGGCAGGGAGCTCTCCACGTGGACGCCAAACTCCCCAAGGCCCGGCCGAGACCAACTGCAGCGCCAGGAGCGCGGGACCACTGCAGCTCAAGCCTCAAACTGTTCCCCGCCCCTCTCCAGGGCCACGCTGGGGGCGGGGCGGTTAAATGCCTCTGTGACGTCAGCCCGCGCAGGACCAATCCCCCTGTCCGGCAGGCGTTAACTCCTTTGCAGCTTGCCCGCTATTGGTCCGTTGGGCAATCCAGGCTGTCCCAGCTTTTTAAAGCCGCCGCGTAGTATAAACACGGAGATGCGGGCGGCCAGGGCATGAAGTCATCGCGGCTCAGTAGCTTTGGGGCTGACGTCATCTCCGGGGAGGTTGCCGGCCCAGGCTGTTAGAGCCTTCCTAACATTCGGGCTGGCTTAAGAGGCCGCCCCCGCCCCGTCGAAGGTCAGCCCCATTGCACTTCAGTGTCCCAGGCGGCGCCCCGTCCCCGAGGAGGGGACCGAGACACAGTAAGTCCGGGCTGCGGCTCTCCCAGTGGGACCCAATTATCCGGCAGAGAAACTGAGCCTCAGAGGTGCGAGTGGTTCGCGATCCTGCATAGCAAGTTCGAGTTACCCCCGATAGGTCTTGCCCATCCCGGGGTCTCCCATCTTTAGGTCAGGCCATGTGGCCCCGCCCCTTGCCTATTATGGCTGCAGTCGCTTTAAGTGCGAAGGTTGGGGCACGAAGGAGGTTTAAAAAAAAAAGTCTGCCTTCCAATATGGCGGCCCACTAATCACGTGCTTAGTCGCGGCGAATGATTGGCTCTCAGGCCCCCACGGGGCGGGGCTCTTAGCACGGGGCGGGGCAGCCGCCAGCTACTGTTTGCCGGAACCTCCGGGCGCGCTCCCGAGAGCCCCCCCTCCCGCCCGACGCGCGACCCCGCCGCTTCGAATGTTGTGAATCAAATGTGGGGTTTGTTACATTCCGCTGCCGCCGCGGACAGTTCTTAAAGGGCCAGCTGCAGGCAGCTGCGCAAACCTAGCTGCGTCCTGCGCCGCCTCCCGCTCCCAGAGGGCCTGGGCCGAGAGAGGCTGACCGCGCGTGGGCCTCGCGAGGCAGACAGCGGCGGACAGACAACAAAGAGAGAGGGCCCCAGAAGGAGCTGGACTGCCCCCGGACCAGGGGGTGGGGAGGGGAGCACATTGTTCCGCAAGGCGGGGGCTCTTAAAGGGTCCAGGCAGCTCCCCGCTCAGCCCCCTGCTCAGCTTGGCCGTCCTAGGTCGGGAACAAAGGAGTCAACGTGTGGCCAGGAGGCTGAAGGTGAGTCGGGGCCAGAGCCCCCAACTCCCGATTTCCGCATCCCTGGAACTCCTGCCTCCCTCCCCTGGGACAGGGGGCTGTGATCTTAGAGCTGGCTCCGCAGGGGTTAATGGCGGGCGGTCCGGAGAGGGACGGCGAGACCTCTAGAATCGGGACACCGCCACCCCGGCACCCCCCAAGGCCAGGCCGAGTCTCCCTACTCCGGAGGCTGAGCGCTGCGGTTGGAGAGGAAGGAGCCGCCCTCTCCCCCTGCTGCCGCCACTTCCTTTGTTGTTGCTTTTGTCTCACGCCGAGCACATGGTCCGGGATCCTCGGCTCTTAAAGTCACAGCACTCTGGCCCCGAAGCCGAAGTCCGGCCTCCCGCCCCCCGTGTCCCTCCGAGCGCGGCACAAAGGAGTGAGAGGGAGAGGGGGGAGGCCCCTCTCCGGGCTGACGCCCGCACCTCGGCTCCCCGTCCCCATCCCCCGGGAGGGGTGGCTGAGGAATCTCCCCAGAGTCCCGCAACCTGCGCCTGGCCCGCGTGGAGGAGGAGCCTGCCCCTCAGGGACACTGGTTTTCTTCCCCACTAATGTGACCACCTGCTTTCTTGCGTCGTGTCTCTTATGGCTTTATTTGGGCGCTCTGGGAAGGAGAGGCTTCCACCCCCATTTTACAGTGGTGGCAACTGAGGCTCACAGAAGCAAAGAGATTTCCTTGACCAAGGTCACTTGGAGACTCTGGACTAGCCAAGGACTCCTAGCTCTGAGCCCAGCAGTCCTGCCCTCACCTGCCTCCAAGCATCATAGGTTGGGGAGCTCTGCATGCCCACCAGGCAGTGCTGGGCCTAGCCTGCCTCTTTTTTGGGGGGAGGAAGAGGAGGAAGTAGGGAGGTGGGCTTCTCATCCTGCCTGAGTCTACTCATGCTCTCAGGGGCTGACTTTGCTTATCTGGGAAAACAGCCCCTGCTGCAGCAAACAGCCTCCAGGTCTAAATGATGTGGCAGGGGCACCCTGCACCGCGATGGGGATAGTGCTTCGGGCACTGGAAATAGCGAGTTGGCTGTCTCCTGGGGGAGGGGGAGGGGCAAGGTACTGAGATTGGGTTTAGGGATGGGACCTTGGAGACCGGTTTACACAGAGCTCCTCGAGAGCACACCACAGAGGAGTGTGGACAGCCAGAGCAGTTAGGGGTGGCCACCTGGCCACCCTTGCTGTTTGACCTTGAGCAAGTTGCTAGCTTCAACTCTGGGCCTCACTTGCTTCTCTCCATAATAGAGCTAGTCACAGGTGCCTGAAAGAAAGTTCTCCCCATTTCCTTTAGGACCTGGAATAGAGAGTTGGGATTAGGTAGTTCTTGGGGCTATTGATGCTAATGAGAGAGTCAGGGGTTGGCGGAATCTGGGCCTGGGGGGCCAGCCAGGACCAATTCAATCCCTCTCTGGCTTTGTGGTTTAGAGCAAGTTACTTCCTTTCTCTGGGTCTCAGTTTCCTCAACTGTGAAGTGGGTGTGACCCCTCTGTGCCACTTCTATGCCTAGTAGGACTTCAAGAACCAGGGGCCCCTCCCTTGCCAGCTGGGGTATTCCCCTGGGAAGGCATATTTCCTAGCTGCCTCCTGCAGAGCTTGAAGTGGCACCTAGTTTCTGGTTGGGAGGTGGGGTTGGAGGTCAGCCTATCTTATTTTCCAACAATGATCAGTCACACCTAAGCTTTCCAGATCCCTTCTGCCGTGGTCTTTGAGCATCTTCGCCGGTCCACTGGGAGGTGGGTGTTGGGCTGTTCACATTTTACAGATGAAGGAGCTGAGGCATAGAGAGGGGAAGTGACGTGCCCATCTTCAGCCGTGACTCTGGCCAGAAGTCAGGGTGTCACGTGTGAGAATGCAGGGTTGACGCCGTCACCGTTGGCACCATCCTTCACAGCCGGAGGCCCTTCTGTCGGCTGGTTTGCTTTCGCAGCTCTTTGCCACTTCCCTTTCCTGAGGAGTGGGTGTCTCTGAAGGGGCTGGCCACAGAGCAGATTCCCATGGGCCTGGGTCTCTGTGGGGTCTGCACCCCCAAACCTTGACACTCCCCAGACTTCAGCAAGACAGCCTGGCACAAGAGGAGCGTTGAGGCTATTGCCTGGGTCGTGTCCCAGTGCCCTCACAGCTCCTGCTGACTGGCCTTGGACCTCACCTCCCTGACCCCCAGTGTCCCTACTTCTGAGAGCTGCTGTGAGGGCTCATCAGGATGGCACAAGGGAAGTATTGTGGTTGTTAATATTCCTCATGGGCAGGACCGTGGGCTCCCGGGACCTCTGAGAGCAGATGGAGCAGAGGTTCCCAAGCCTGGCTGGCTGTGCTATAGAAACTGCTGGGGATTGGGTAAAAATGCAGGTGCCCTTGTTCTCCAGCTCTCCAAAGATTCTGCTCCAGAGAGTCTGAGTGGGCCAGGAGTGTCTTGTTTAGTATTTGGGCGTTTCCTCTGAGTCTCTCTTGGCCCTTGTTTGCTGGGCTGGGTTGTCAGCAGGAATCAGGGAGGCTGTATGTGTACACATGTGTGTAAGGATGTGCCCTTGGCCCATGCCAGGGATCACAAACCCAGTCACCTCTGGTGGGCGGGCGGGAGTGGGCCTAGGGTGGCCTGGAAAGGAAGCTCATGCTCCTAGTGAGGGGGGCCAAGCAGAAACAACATCCCAGTGGGAGCAGACTCCTGCTTTTCCCTCTCCCCAGGAAAAGCCAGATTTTATGTAATCTCTCATCTTTTAATCATGGGCACTAACTTCAGTGCTGTCAGACTGTGGCTTTGGGTCTATGTGATCAGCTCTCCAGTGCGCATTTACCACATCAGGCCTGCCCTGTGCTGGACACAAGCTGGTCACTGGGCCCTGCCCACCCCACTGCCAAGTGCCCAAGCCTAAATTGGGTGGGATAAGTGTGAATTCCGGCCCTTACATTTCCTGTGTGGCCTTGGCCGGTGCTGTCCGAGTGGAGAAGGGCCTCTGTTGCAGGCTCGTTTGAGCATTAGGGCCCAGGCTTGTAAGGCCCAGCACAGAGGAAATGTTCTTGCCACTGTTAGCAGGAAGGAACAAGGTGTTAAGGAGACAGTGTGCTGCCTCCCTGGCTGTGTCTTCAGGAGGCTACTCTTTTTAAAGCTGGGTATCAAGATGCGTAGGAACTTTGTCCGATGGAGAAGGGGTGGAGGGGGGCCTCCCTGTGGCAGGAACAGCAAAGGGCTGGTCCTGTTTGATGCACCCTTCAGCTTTGCCGGGCCTGACAGGTTCCAGAGCTTTCCCTGCCAGGGCCTCATCCCAACCTCTCAAGTTAATGAACGGTCCCCCAACTTCCCCCACCTGGACCCCCAGCTTCTAGCTGGGGGGAGACCTGCCCTGCCCCATTTCCACTCAACTTCCTCCCTGAGGTTCTTGCTTCCCCTTTCTTCTCAGCAAGCCCCATCCCCTTGGGGGCTGTGCTGATTGTGTCCAGCAGTGGCCAGCTTCCTTCATGGACTCCCGTGAAGCCCTTGTGGTGGACCCCCTTCCTGTCGGTAACGGGACAGTGGAGGCTGTGGTCAGCCCAGCTCCCAGCTTTGACACTTGGGCAAGTCCCTTCTGTCTGAGCCTCAGTTTCCTCTTCTGTAAAATGAAGCTAACGGTATCTTCCTTGAAGAGTAGATGATGTGACACTTGGGTCAGCACTGTGGGAACAGGTTATAGAAAGAAAGAATTCTGACTTGGCTTGGGCTGTAACCCCCCGAGGGCAAGAACCAGGTCAGAACCTCTTACCTGGCAATAGTGGAAAGAGAGGGCCCGCCCTGTGGCTTGGTGGTTAAGTGCGCGCACTGCAATGCTGGTGGACCAGGTTCGGATCCCGGGTGCGCGTTGAGGCACCACTTCTCCGTCCATCCTGAGGCCGAGTCCCACATACAGCAACTAGAAGGATGTGCAGCTATGACATACAACTATCTACTGGGGCTTTGGGGGGAAAAAATAAAATAAATAAAATCTTTAAAAAAAAAAAAAAAAAATAGTGGAAAGAGAGCTGGGCCCCAGGCCTGACTGGAGTCCCCCCAGAATCCCCATCTGCCTGGAGGCCAAAGTTTAGACCCCCACCCCAGGACAGGGTGCCCTGGGGACCCCACCCTGAGGGAGGCTTACCGGAGCCACCTTGCCCGAAATGGCCAGCCCTCTGAACTCACCACAGCCCTCAGGGGGAACTTGATCCCATTTCACAGAGCAGGAAACTGAGACCTGGGCTCCCTGCAAGCCAAGCCTATCCCTGGTCTGTCAGCCCTGAACCCCAGTGCCAAGAAGGCCATACCCAGAGTGCCCGCTGCCCATGGGGCGCGGGAGCGTGGTGGACATCAGTGGCCCCTGGCATCAGACTGAAGAGGTTTGATTCTGTCTCCTGATCCCTAATGAGGCAAGTGACTGGACTGCTCTCTGCCCCACTTTCTTTGTCTGTTTACCTCCTAGGGTTGTGAGCCCCAGCCCAGCCCCTCCACCCCTCTGCCACCCCGGATGCGACCATGGGCTCTGGCAGTGACTAGGTGGCCACCCTCTGCCCCTGTGGGTCAGTGGCGATTCTCTGCAGGACCCGGCAGCACCCCAGGCCAGCTCCGGGGAAGGTAGGAAGGAACCTCCCAGTCCTGTGGAGCCCAGAGACCCTGGTGCGGGGGCTGTCAGCTTGGGCTGGGCACAGGGCCCTGAGTTGTTTTCCTTCCCCCAGCGGGTAGCAACTTTGGTCTCTCTCCATGCTCTGTGAGTGAGTGGCCCCCCTCAGTCCTACCGGGGCTTCCTCTCTGTGGTGCAGCCCTGGCCGCGAGGGCCCCCTGGCCGGCCCACCTGCCCAGGATGAGCGCTTACCCTCCCAGCAGCCGCCGCCCCGGCCACCACACCTCCCCGTAGAGGAGCGCCGAGCCTCGGCTCCTGCCGGCGGGAGCCCACGAATGCTGCACCCAGCCTCCCAACAGAGCCCGTTCATGGTTGATCTCCACGAGCAGGTAGGCAGCACACCGCCGCCCCCCCCCCCGCGGCATCCCCCCGGCTCTGGCAGGCCAGTCTTCGAAACCGAGGCACTAGATTCCTGATTTCCCCGTGGTTAACTCACTGCATGCTCAGGGAGGCATTATTAGCCCTCTTTTACAAGTTGGTAAATTGGGGCCCAGAAAAGGGAAGGATCTTCCCTGGGGCCACATAGTAGATGAGAGGTAGAGCTGAAAGCCCCTTCCAGGTTCCCAGAGGTTCTCTCTACCCTCTGGGGCCTGGGGCAGGAGGACAGCCAGGTCTGTACCTCAGTAGGCCCCAGCTAGAGAAGTGACGGGAGCTGGCCCGGCAGGACTTTCTCACCTGGGAGCAGCCGCGTGGCCAGGCATCCTTTCTACAGTTGCCAGGTCTCTCTCTGCCCACAGGTGCACCAGGGGCCTGTCCCTCTGTCCTACACAGTTACCACAGTGACAACCCAAGGCTTCCCCTTGCCTACAAGCCAACACATCCCTGGCTGCAGTGCCCAGCAGCTCCCAGCATGCTCCGTGATGTTCAGTGGGCAGCACTACCCCCTCTGCTGCCTTCCGCCGCCGGTGAGTGAGCGCCTCCGCCTCCTACCCAGCCCAGCCGAAAGCCCCAGGCACGGGTCAGCGGCACAACCGAGCCCAGCTTATGACCCCCATCCAGGCTGTCAGAGCGCCTCCCCAGCTCCAGGCCACACCCCTGCCCAGAAGAGCATGCGTGCATTCACTGCATTCCTGTACAGTGAGGGAACATTTCAGGGTTCAGGGACCTCCCTGCACCGCAGTGCCTTATGGCTTAGAGTCATAATGGTGGTCTTTAAGAGCATAATGTCCTGCCTGGGTGGCCTAGGCCAGGGGTGGGACAGTCCAGAGGACTTCACTGGGGACCTTTTGCTGGATGGAGTGGCCCCTGGCCCTCACCATAAGCATAGGCCCAGCCCAGAGCCCAGAAGAACATTCTCCAGCCCCCTGCCCCCTCTCTCGGCAGCTGATCCAGGCGTGTACCATGCAGCAGCTCCCTGTGCCCTATCAGGCCTACCCCCACCTCATCTCCAGTGACCACTACATCCTGCACCCTCCACCGCCAGCCCCACACCCCCAGCCCACCCACATGGCGCCTCTTGGGCAGTTTGTATCGCTGCAGACCCAGCACCCGCGTATGGTGAGTCTCGGTCATGGGTCCGATGCTGGGGAATGGCGGGGGGGCTTCCCTGGTCACTGACTCTGGCTGACCCGCCTCTGCCTCTTCTAGCCCCTGCAGCGGCTCGACAACGACGTGGACCTGCGGGGGGACCAGCACCCCCTGGGGAGCTTCACCTACTCCACCTCTGCCCCAGGCCCAGCCCTGTCCCCGTCCGTGCCTCTGCACTACCTGCCCCACGATCCACTGCCCCGGGAGGTGTCCTTCGGTGTGGTGAGTGCCACCCCCACCCAGGCTCTGGGGCCTTCGTGAGACAGGCCCACCTGACCTGCACCTGGTCCCCCTCTCGCAGCCGTATTCCCACATGATGCCGCGGAGACTGAGCGCCCAGAGATACCGCCTGCAACAGCCGCTGCCCCCGCCGCCCCCACCGCCACCCCCGCCCCCGTATTACCCCAGCTTCCTGCCCTACTTCCTGTAAGTACCAGACATCTGCCCCGGAGCTCGGGTGCTGCCCTCCTGGGGCCTGTCAAGCCATCTGGCACCCCCCAGACCACACACACACTCTCTCATACTCCGCTGGGCTCCCCGCCCTCCTGCCACATCCTGGGACAAGCCCTGGGCTCCCACGTGTGAATGGTGCAGGGCTCTGGGCGTTGTTTCATGGGGGGAGTCAGGAGAGCAGCTCTGTGCCCCCTGCGCCTACTGACCTGGACCCTGGGCCCCATACCTGTCTCCCTCAGCTCGATGCTGCCAATGTCACCAACAGCAGTGGGGCCCACCATCAGCCTGGATCTCGACGTGGATGACGTGGAGATGGAGAACTATGAGGTCCCATGGAGCCCTGTCCTGGGAGGTGGGGGCTTGGGGGACCTCAGGCCCTGGGCGCTGCTGACCCTCCCTCCTGCCCGTGTCTAGGCCCTCCTGAACCTGGCGGAGCGGCTGGGAGACGCCAAGCCCCGTGGCCTCACCAAAGTGGACATCGAGCAGCTGCCGTCATACCGCTTCAACCCTGATAGCCGGCAGTCGGAGCAGACGCTGTGAGTGCTGGCCCAGCTCCTGCCCTCCGAGTGCGCAGACAGCTGCAGGGGCCCTGCTTGAGGGGACCTGCGCTCTGCAGTGGGCCTTCCCTCAGCCGTCCGCATGGAGGTGACGCTTTGTGCCCTCCTCCCAGGTGTGTCGTCTGCTTCAGCGACTTCGAGGCGCGGCAGCTGCTGCGAGTGCTCCCCTGCAGCCACGAGTTCCACACCAAGTGTGTCGACAAGTGGTTGAAGGTAACGCAGCCAGGCCGCTCCCGGGGCTCCTCTTGAGGGGGAGGGCGGGCCTGGAGGGTGTCCCTCCTCATCCTTGTCAGCCTCTAGAAGTTCTGGCCCCATTCAGGGGGCTGAGTCCTTACCAGGCAGTGGAACAGAGTGAGGTGGGCAGGGGAACAGGTCAGGGTGGAGCTTGATATGTGGCTGCCCCCCCAGGCCAACCGGACGTGTCCCATTTGCCGGGCTGACGCCTCCGAGGTGCCCAGGGAGGCTGAGTGAGGCCCACAGCTGCCCAGGAGAACCCTGCCCGAAGCTCTGGAAATGGGGACCCAGGGAGGACGGGGAGGGAGCAGCCCAGGCCTGCCCCGTCTTTCTGCCTGCATCTCCAGCGCTGGTGCCAGGGTCAGCCCCGAGGAGGCCCCTGCAATAAGCTCCTGCGTTTGCCAAGCTCCAAAGACTCCTCTCCCAGTCTGCCTGCCAGTCCACCGCCACGGAGCTGCCTGTGTGTCACTGACTCGCTCTCCCTCCTGTCCGCCCACGGGTCTCTCTCCTGTCCTGCCCGCACCGGGAGCCAGGGGTCCGCTCTCCCGGTGTGGCTGGTGGAGATCCTTGGCCCCAGGATGGGCAAAGGGAGCACTGTCTCGGGTGGCCTGGTCTCTTGCACTAAAATGGTGTGCTCTCTGCCCGGGTGGCACTGACAGGCACCTGGACAGATGGTGGCATGAGGCCATTGCCTGAGCTCCAGGCCTGGGTCCTCCTGCCTTGACCCCCAACAGACTCAGGCAGCCAGTCCCGCCCAGGCTGCTGTGAGGGGTGGCTCTGGCTGCCTAAGGAACCCTCACCCCAGACACAACATTCCAGCCGCCTCCCCGCCCCCAGGCTGGAGGGCATCAGAGCCAGCCCACCGAGCAGATGGGCGGCAGGCCCTGCGCTGGGCAGCATGCATCCTGAGGGCCTGGGCCATGCTGAGGAGAGCGACCTCCGTGCTCCTGGTGGCCACCCCTCTCTGGCAGTGGCGGGGCCAGACCCAGGCCTGATCTCCCCTCCCTGTCGTTTTGCATGAACGTGAGGAACAGCGGTTTTTGTTTATTCATTTGGCCCAAAAATCGCGTGTAGGATTTGGGGGTGTGGATTTTTAAACAACTTGTTTTCTTTTGGTTTAAATTGGGGAGAGTCTAGGGACCAACCAGGACCAAGTGCCCTGGGGGCCAGGAACGGTCCGGTGGTGCCGCCTGGTCCGCATGCATGTGCGTGGCTGGGGCTGGGCCGGGCGGCTGGCAGTCAGGGGCGGGGTTGGGGGGTCTGTGCTCAGCTGATAACTGCCATGCACTGTACTGCACACATCCCCAGAGCCTACCGGGACCTACGCTTTTCAGGGCATTTCTCCCTCTCCAGCCAGGGTCCGGCTCCCACCTGCCTGGGCAAGTCGCCTCCAAGGAAGTCCCGGGAGGACAGGGACCAGGGCGGGCGTGGACCCCACCTCCAGAGGCCTCCTCCCAGCCTGAGCCCTGCTCTCCAAGGTCTGGAGGAGTCCCCTGCAGGATCTGGCTGAACTCGAACCCTCTCCCTCCCTGGTCCCATTCCTTTCCTTCCCCATCCCCAGCTGGGGTTGCTGCCCGAACGAACTGCGTGTGGGGCCGGCACATCCTAGCAGGCAGCCCCTGGCGCCTGCTGCCTCAGGGATGCTCCAACCACCCTCGTTCTCCCCGCAGCGCCCTGGCTTCCCCCCGCCTGCCATGGGGCCCCATCAGCCTGGCCCCACCCCGTGGAGAACCCAAAGTCTTACTGTATATAACTGCAGGTGACCTTTCTATATTTATAGCAGTGTTGAAACCCCACATGTTTTACACAAAGAACCACCCTCTCCAACCCCCGTCCCTTTCCCACCCCAACAACAGGGTTTCAAAACCCTTATGGTTCCTGGGGCAGGCGGGAACAGGTTCTCGGGCTGTGTGTCGGCTGCAGCAATGATTCCAATGAGCAGCTATTGGGGGGGAAACACAACATTTAAAAATAATTTTAAAAAAGATTTATAAAACAATTATTTAGGATGTTTGTGATTTGCCGACCTTGCTATAGATGCCATGTTACCAATGATTTTCTGTGGTGGGGGCTTGTCATTGTTTACTCTTATTTACCAACTTCTGGCCTAGGCATGACAGTGGGCACCATCCCCCGCCCTGGCTGGGCCCAGCACCTGTGTTCTGTGTTAGAAAGGTTCTTTATATATATATACTTACATATATATATAAATATATGTAATTTGGGGGCCCTGTTCCTTGCACATTTTACAGTTACCTCATTTTTCCCATATATGTATTTGAGAAAATGCTAATATATAGAGAAAAAAATGGTTCTTAAAGCTTAAATGTGTGGTTTTTTCCATTCCATTGGATTCACATTGGTTTGTAGCATTTAACATAACTAGTATGTTGTATTATATATATGTGTATACTGATTGAAATTTTTAACAGATTTGTACTTTTTTTAAAATGAAAGTTGCTAGTTCTGCTTGACCAAGTAGTGCAATCATTATTTTTTTTAATATTGTTGCTGATTTCAGAGGGATACTCACTAATAAACGTATGATGTATATCAAGTATTGCCCCAGCTGCCTTTGGCTGCCTGTGTTCTTTTGGTGGGAAGTGGAGCGAGGAGGGTCGGGCACGAGGCAGGCAGAAAAGATGGTTCTCTGCTGTGGAACCTTGGGGGAATGAGCACCTCCTGATGGAGAGGGCTCTGCCAGGCCTGTTCACGGATCACTTGTTCTGGGCCGTCTGCTTCACACGACAATGAAGCAGGATTCTGCTGGCAAGTGACAGGACTCCCCCTAACTGGTCTGAGGCAAGTGTCACTTACTGGTCTGCCGCTGAAATCCTGGAGGTGGGTTCTGCCTCAGCATGACTGGATCGGGCTCAGGCATGTCGTAAGGAACAAGGTCTCCCTTCATCTGACAAATTCATTGTGAAGGAGCTGTTCCTATGTGGTGGTTCGTGGTGGCTCTAGCTCCGTTACCCCTAGTTGAGCATCATCTCCGTGGGAAAACCACTTATCCCAGGAATTCTAGGAGAGTTTCTGGGAGGAAGTCTTGTTAGACCCACCTGGGTTGTGTGTCCATACCTGAACCATTTGCTGCCATAAGGGAGCTACGACAGCATGATGGGCTCAGCCTGCATCCGGTACCCCCACACACACAGGCCCCACTCACACTATGTGAACTCGAGCCCCTCACCCCAGGCTCGGTGGGGTAAAGGGCCTGAGAGCCAGCAAAGGGACCAGACAGGTGACATGCCGGGTGGCATATGATGCTGTAGGGATATCAGTGGGCTTGTTACACGTCAAAGCAACATGGTCTGGAGCAGAGCAGCGAGCTGGAGTCAGAACTGGGAACTTGTGTCTCTGTGATGCCACTATCTGTGGCCTGGGGCAGGGCACCTCCCTTTTGACCTTGAGATCATCTGCAAATTAAGGAATAGAATCATTGAGTGGTTCCCCAAGTGTGTTTCAGAGAGAGTCCTGTGGGGGCATAACAGGGTTTGTGCAAAAAAAGGGCTCTCTGGTAAAATAAGTGGGAAATTCCACACTGAAGCTAACAAGAGCCTGTATTGCAGAGCATCTCTGAGGCTTGGCTGTGCTGACATGTATTGTAAATCTCTAGGAATGGATACAAGTGTGGGCATTTGGCTTGTTTGGCCACGTGCAGGGTTCAAGTTGCATTCTCTGGAGCACACTGGGACATGGTGGACTAGACCAGTGGTAGCAACTGAGTGCCGAGGGCTCTAGTCTGAGAACATTGTCAAATGCAGAAGGCAGGGATATCCACTCTCACCGCTCCTATTCAACATTGTGTTGCGAGTCCTAGCCAACACAATAAGGCAAGAAATGGGAAATAAAATTAGGCATAGGAATTGAAAAGGAAGAAATAAAACTGTCCCTATTTGTAGATGATGTGATGAAAATCTACATAGAAAATCCCAAAGAATCTACCAAAAAAAAAAAAACAGAACTAAATGAGTTCATCAGGTCATAAGATACAAGATCAATATACAAAAATTAATTGTATTCCTATAAACTAGCAATGAACACAAGGAATTCAAAATCAAAAACACAAGGATGCTGTTTACAATCACTTAAAAGAGAAATGATACACATGTATAAATCTATTCAAACGTTACAAGACTTGTATGTTGAAATCTACAAAACACTGATGAAAAAAAATCAAAGACCTACATAGGTGGAGAAATGTGTCATGTCTCGGATTGAAAGACCCGGCACTGTAAAGATGTTATTTCTTCCCAAATTTATCTGTAGGTTTAATGCAATTCTATCAAAATTCCAGCAAAGTTTTTTTTGAGATATATACATGCTTATTTTAAAATTCATTTGAAAAGGCAAAGAAACTAGAGTAGTCAAGACAATTTTGAAGAACAAGAATAAAGTGAGAAAAATTGCTCTGCCCAATTTTAAGACTTACTCTAGAGCTGCCTTTATCAAGACAGTGTGGTATTGGCAGAGGGATAGACAGTCTATTAAAAATAAGTCAGGGGGCTGGCCCAGTGGCATAGTGATTAAGTTCACATGCTCCATTTCGGCGGCCCGGGGTTTGCAGGTTCAGATCCTGGGCATGGACCTACGCACCGCTCATCAGGCCATGCTGTGGTGGCATCCCATATACAAAATAGAGGAAGATGGGCACTGATGTTAGCTCAGGGCCAATTATCCTCACAAAAACAAAAATAAAAATAAAAAAGTCAGCAGAGGGGCAGGCCCTGTGGCCTAGTGGTTAAGTTTGCCGTGCTCTGCTTCAGTGGCCCGGGTTTGGTTCCCAGGCGCAGACCTACACCACTTGTCAGCAGCCATGCTGTGGTGGCACCCCACATACAAAATAGAGGAAGATTGGCACAGATGTTAGCTCAGGGAGAATCTTCCTCAGCACAAAAAAAAAAAAAAAAAGTCAGCAGAGGTTCCACTTTGCCATACATGCATCTGTGTAGTAAGAGCCTTGTACCATCCAACTGGTGAACATCTGAACGATGTCCCATCTCTTATCCCAGCCGTAGCACACACCTTCCATGTTGTTCCTGTCCATTGATTGCTTCCAAATCCAATGACCAAATAGTCCTTTATCCCCAAAGTAAGCTCAGAATGGTTGGATCAGGCATTCCAGGATCTGCATGCCTCTTAAATCCCAGATAAACCATGAGAAGAACAAAGCCCAGCGGATTGGCTGCTCTTGAAGAGCTGCTGCAGCCTCTGCTTGGCCTCTTTGCTCAGCTTCACATGGCAACAGCCCAGCAGTTTCTTATAAAACTACACATACACTTACTACATGACCCAGCAATTGCACTTCTGGGCATTTATTCCAGAAAAATGAAAATGAGTCCACACAAAAACATATGCACAAATGTTCACAGCTGCTTTATTCATAATAGCCCCAAACTGGGAACAACCCAAATGTTCTTCAATGAGTAAATGGTTAAACAAATTGTGCTCCATCCATATCATGGAATACTACTTAGCAATAAAAAGGAATGAATTATTGATACATACAATGACTTGTATGGATCTCAAGGGAATTATGCTGAATGAAAAAAGCCAATCACCAAGGTAACATATAATTCCATTTATATAACATTATCAAAATAACAACATTAGAGAGATGGAGAATAGATTAGTGGTTGCCAGGAGTTAGGGATGGGCAACAAGTGGGGGTGTGTCCATAAAGGGGTAGCAGGAGAAAGATCTTTGTGATGATGGAAGTGTTCTGTATCCTGAGTAGGGTGTGGTTGCACAAATTTACACTTGATGAAATTGACAGAACTACACACACACACAAATGGGTGCATGTAAAACTGGGGAAATCTGTGGATTGTGCCAATGTCAATTTTCTGCTTTTAAACAAGATATTATCATTGAGGGAAACTAAGGGTTCCTAAGACCTTTTTGTAATATTTTTGCAACTTTCTATAAATCTATATTTATTTCAAAATAAAAAGTTAAAACAAAAAAAGTCTGCGGGAAATTGGATAAAGACCCGACATTATGAATCAGATTAAAATCCAATCATCTTTGGGCTGCAGTTCTCTTACTTTAAGGCGTGGCAGTGGTGGGGGTAGGAGGTCATTCTGCTCACCTTCTTCCTATCGGAAGCTCTGCCTGCCAGCAACGACAACAGCGCCTGGCCCATAGGGGCCATTTTTTGAAGAATGAATGAATTGGCAGTGATGGGTGTCTTTATTTTAGTAATGGTTGGTATAACAGGCAACATCTTTCCGAGGGGTACACACCACAAGTTGCCCTTGGAGAGAGGAGCCCAGAGCTCCGGGACTGGACTGTCTCACTGCTTTTCCCTCAATGTCCTTTGAGCTCAGCCTTTACACTGACAGGAAGAACTTGCAGAGTTCTCTAGACGGGCAATTTAATTGCCACTGGGTTCTCAGGGCCTGGTGGGGTCTTGGCATGTTGTTTGTGCTAAATAAATTCATTCAGCAAAATTGGCAGAGTGCTTCTGTCCAAAGCCAGGTGCTGTTCTAGGCCTGGGAAACTCCAGTGACTGAGACAAACTTCCTGCCTCCAAGAAGCTAGCATTCCAGGAGAGACAGACAATATACAAGTAAACAATAATTTCAAATTATAACAGGGGACATGAAGGAAAATACAGGGGCGGGGCATCCTGACATAGGGATGGTCTCAGAGGATGTGACATTGAGATTAGTGAGTCAGGAGAAAGCATTCTAGAGAGAGGGAACAGAATTTGCAAAGGCCCAGAGGCAAGCATGAGTTTGGGCAGGAGCACGGGTTACGTTGGAGAGGTGACGTTGGAGAGGAGGGCAGGGGCTAGGTCCCAGGGGACCTTATAAACCACAGTGTTTCATTTGCTCCTCAACATCCTGAGGTATTTATTATTTTCGGCTTCCATTTGGAAGAACAGAGGCTCAGAGATGCCCCAGTCTAGGCCCAGGTAGAAAATGGGAGAATCAGGATAGCTTTGTAGTCTCCACTCCTGCATTCTCCAGGTCAGAGAAGCCACTTTCGAAAAGCCCTAATGGAGACCTCCCTTCAGTCTCTTCTTCCCCCTCCAGGCTCCAGGCACGCCCTCCAGGCAACCTACAACTTCCTGGACGCAGCAGCAAGTGGAAGGCTTCTGTCCCTTGTAGGGATTCTTGGGGAGCTGGCAGCCACAGAAGGAGTGGTTTATTTTTTCTTTTCCTTTTTTTGGAATGGGGAGACTGAAGTCAGACTGAATTCAGCCCTGAATATAAACCTCCTTTGTCATTTCAGAGGAAGATGGACGATGTAAAAAAAATGGGTTTCCACACGTCTCTTGCCCTCCTCTCCCTGTCTTCTCTGGCTTCCCTGTGGGAGGGGATGGAGGCAGTGGCAGAGCAAGTATCCCAATCTAGTCCCGCTCCTGTCAGCTCCCCCTTCTCCATCCTCCCTGCTGGCCACCCTCAGGTTCCCATGGTTTCCCCAACATGCCCTGTTCCACCCCTGTGTGTGCATGCTGTGCCCTCTGCTTAGAAGACCGTTCACATTTCGTGAGTGCCCACCATGCTGCCAAGTTCTCTCTCATGGGATCCTTCTTCTGTTTTCTTGACTATAAAACTG